ATGCTATTGGTGAAGACCTAGCTGCTGCACCCGCGCCGAGTGACGAAGATGACGAGGAAGAGGGGAGGGCAGAACCCCGGATTGAACCCATGGCCACGCCCTCGACGATTGCTACCGTGGACGCGGGGGCGATTGCCGCCGGATTTAGCCTCTGCACCTGCCCTAATCGATGAGGAGGACAATGAAAACAACGGGGAAAACCTCCAGGCTGACCGCGCCGAGTCCAACCGCAGCAACGAGGATAATGCTGCCGAACCTCTGCACTCCCGTCCCTGCAAGACCACCTCCCAAGCTCATTGAGCGACAACGAGCCCGCATACAACAGCTACCACAAGAAACGTGATGAACAGGGGCGAGCCACCTTCGGACTGGATACGTATGCCACGAGTGTGGAGATGTGGCCGGCATATCGAAAGGCCATCAAGGACGCCTAGCGCGCACACCGTCGGGAACACCGACAAGACGGAACATGGTGCCCAGATTTGGATGGCGGACCAAACGACATGAGCTGAGACGCAGCGAGTGAGCGTTTTCTAGTTTGCAATTGGTCTGCCGATTTCTCTTCCACGGACCTATCTGCCAACCCAAGACCAAGGCGATTGTTTCTGGCAAAGGGGCCCCACGCAGCCGGCTCACACACGGCTGGCAAGCGGGGGTTGGGAAGGTGATTTGGCGAGGACGCGATTCAAAGGCGGCAGCTCCCCTGATAAGCGAAGACAGCAAGCTGGCTGCGAAAGAGCGCGCGGCTGCGAAGGAAAGGAGCGCAGACCACCGAAGCGCAAAACTTAAGGATTCATGACCACGTTGAGTCGGGATTGTCAGGTTTGATTGCTGAAGCTGAAGTTACAACAAACTACATGCAAAATCGCTCTTTCTGCATTATTGGGTGCTTGCAAAATCGAGCGTCTACATGGGGAACGGCTGGTTTTGAGTTGCTGTTTGCTGCGATGCCACTGATGTGTTTCTTCTGCGGGTGCTGACGAAATCGAGCGTCTACCTGGGGAACGGCTTGTTTTGATGTGCTGTTTGCTGCGATGCCACTGATGTGTTTCTTGTGCGGGTGCTTAGGAAATCGAGCATCTACTTGTGGTTTGTGGAATCGAGCGTCTAGCTGGGGAATGGCTGGGTTCGATGTGCTGTGCGCTGCGACTGAAGTTCGTCTCGAGTCGACGCTTGTGGACCCGAGCGTCTAGCTGGGGAATGGCTGGTTTTGATTTGCTGTCAACATTTTTGCAGGCGGAGGTTTTGCGCGAGTGCACGACATAGAGTGCCCGACGTTCAACCGAACAGGGCCTAGGCGAGTGGCCACATATATTCAAGTATTCGCAGCCTCTTCTTTCGCGAACGCGCGCTGCTGCTTTCCCCATCGCCCTCCGCCGGCACTGGCGCCCTCCTCCGGTCGCAGGCAGGGGACCGCATGCTGATACTGTAGCGCTGCGGAGGCGGCTGCGGTGTCGCTTCGTCGTGCACGCGGCCGGCGAAGCCTGAGGCTGCGATGCCACGCTCGTATCACCACCGACACGCGAATGGCATTCGCAACGTTTTGCCGCATCTCGTGCCGGTGCTATGATCGCTGCGGTCAGAGGCACAAGCACGCGGTTTATCCAGAGCTGCTATGGCCGGGCATGGAACGCTGAATCGATCCGCCTCGTCGTCCAGCTAACAACACACTCCTGTCGCCTGCTACCCGGTGCTGGGCACGCTGCTGGTGGTGCTTGTTGAGCGTGGCTCTGCAAAGCGCCCTCGTTGCCACGTTGCTGCAGGAGGAGGGTCCGGTGGAGTGAGTACCTACTGCCACCTACCGCTGGATGGCCAGCACTGCTGAGGCAAGCGGCTTGCGGGGATCTTCCTGCCAGCTGGCATCAGCGAGGGCCTCGTGTAGGTCAGGTTCTGTGCATTCGCATAGCCCAGCGGCCGGGGAGGGCGGCGTGCCTCTCTGCGGTCAGGCAGCCCACGGCAGCGGCAGTGACGAAGTGGCAGTGGCACGGGGGCGCGAGCGTCGAGAGATCAAAACCCCAAAAAGGCCCCGAGGGATGACGAGGTCGCACCACGGCTTCGGCAATGGGGTGATTGCACGAGCGGCGAGGGGCCCGGCTTGCGACAGCAGCAAAACGCGCGAGGTGCGCTCCGCGCCTTTCTGCGTCTGCCACAGGGTGCGGTCCTTCCCCCCCACCCCGAGCTGCGGTTTGAGAGGCGCGGGAAAAAATTATCCCCATGCGAGCGTTTAGCTCCTCTTGATGCTGGAATCCCTTTCGAACGGTTTGGTTTGCTCCTTCTTCTCAATCGCCCTGACGACCCATTCGAGCGACTTGCCTTCTCCTTTCAATTGATCCAGCGGCTTGCCACTTCTGGCGTTGATGACTGATTTGGAAAGGTCTGCACGAAATCTTTTGCCTTTATCTCCCCTCCTGCACGTATTTGTCCAATGCCCTCATCCCCTTCAGATGTCCTCCAATACTTTGTGATCACTTCCGACCGGCTTGCTCCTTGTTGTCCAAAGCTCTCTTGTCTTCCCCCCAAGCAGTGCAAGTCTGGCGTGCATCGGACCTAGCCTCCTGCTGGATATGCAAGCATCAACACACGGCAACGACCGCGGGTTCGGCGAGGCATTGGTGAAGCCTGCTTTCGGTTGCAGGGCAGCAGGCGGTCGCCAAAACGGCTCCCGGTTCCTTGCTGCGCCCTGGCGGGCCCAAACCGATTGCCCTTGCGGCGCGCCGAAAAAAGTGCTGCAAAAAAATACTAAAGACTCCGCCCCAACGTTCTCTGTGGCAGCCGGACGGCAAGGAGAACGCCGGGGTCCACCACACAACCATGCAAGGGCATTATTGGAGGCAACAGGGTGGATCCAAACAGTCGGGGGAAAGGTCTTGATTCGAAAAGCCAACCAATTATTCAAACGGGGGCTTTATCAAAGGCATCCACACCGAGAACCAGGTTGCAGGCTCCTGCAAGTCCAAAAGGTCGAGGAGCTCAAGATCCATGCCTCGACATCTCACGCTCGAAGCATAACCGAAACCTGTCGGCGGTTCTGTCCAATTCGATCGATTTGCTGCTTTTGCTTTAGCTTTTATTCCAGTCGAGCGGTGTGTTGCGCTTTCATAGCCGCTCTCGGCTGTTAACTTGCTTTCGAGGGTGCAGACCGGTCCCCGTGCAAACTGCGTGCTACCACTACCTGCGGGCCCCACTGCAGTCAGCAGGTGGGCGATTGTTAGCACGCCTCTGCGACCAGCGCGTGCAGCTCAGGCCGTGGCCAGTCTCCCGTTGGTGCCGCGATGGCCAGACCATCGCGCCACCCGGGCTGTGATCAATGATCGCGGCGGGTCTCATCAACCCGCGGCATGGTGCTTCGCCAAGAGGCGCACGAACTGCACGCTAAAGGGCTTTCTAAGCCTTTGCCACGCGTTCATCGACGGTGAGCCGCGAACTAAGCCGGCCGGGAGCCATGTTCGCATGCAGGTTATGGCCATCTTGGTCGGGGAAGCTGCACAAGTATCAAGCCGTTTCAATCGAAGTCGACACCAAACGAATTGGCTACCATCGGCCTGATGAGTCCAGAAATAGGTCGGATAAAGCAACTTGGAATCAAGAGCTGGGCGTTTCACACGTGCCAAGCCCGACGCAGCACTCCTTCTTTCTGCATGAGCCTTCATTCAGAGGCTCCCAAAGCCAAAGTGCAACAATAAATTATCGGCGCCAAACTGTTCCACATTCACTGCCCTGGTGACCCGAGTGAGTGCACAAAAGTAGCATGCATTGCAATGCTTGGAGGGCGACTGCAGTGTCTGCATTGAAAGGCCCGCTGCCATCAGTCGTTGATGGCACGTGGAGCAATCGCAACCGGCCATGGTCTAGTGAATCTAGTGAAAATGCCAGTGCGATCAACCGCATCTAGCAAGGGAAGCACTCACCCTCATCTAGCAACGGAGGTCTGCAACACTTCTTTGCGCAGACGAAGCAAGCAAGCACTTCACGTGTCGCCAAGATCCTGACGAGTTACTCCACGAGCGCAATTATGCATGCAACGCCGTCACGCGCTGGCTTGCGCATCCTGGTCATCTACAGCGGCACGCCCTATATGGCTGCTGAGTTAGTGCTTGCACGATTTCTTTGTTGCCGCGGAGTTTGAGACCGGGGTGGAGCAACAAAAGCCTCGACAAACCTTTGGTGCATAGGAGGACTTACTGCTGCAATGTGGTGAGTGAGCGAGTTTCCGCCTCGCATGAGATTTTCATGCGAAGCCCTGTGGTCGTCGTATACGTGCTGTGTTGGGATCGCCACTTGCGTGCCCCGCCTGCCCTGCTTTGGGGAGAGCAGAACGATACAACACGCCATCTGCCCGTCGCTGGTGCAGCTATCTGTCCAAGTGCAGCACGCGGTCCAGCTGAGGGGCTGAACTAATGTTCGGCACTCGGGTAATCGTGACCGGCCAAGTATCAGCCATATCGTCGAGGCTGGCGGCACATCGCACAGGACATGAACTCCTCGAAAAGAGGGCCGATCCGTGGGCAAACGTCCCGGGCGTCGCCTCAGAGGCCTCTCCACGGGCTTTATTGGGAAGTGTGCATCAGAAAGCAACTCTGCTGCGGTTTTTGCTTCGGAGCCCTTGTCGTCGGTTTCCGAGTGGAACTCTTCTCGAGCGAGAAGGGGCCAGCTCCATTAAGTTGGGGCAAGAGCACTCCAAGATCGGGGTTCTCGTAGTAATTGATAAGTTTCAACAGACGGGAAGGCAGACCCTTTTGTTAGTCTGCAGCTCAAAAAGCTTAAGACCGGAGGTGCTTTTACTCAGAGGCGCGAATGCAGTCTTCGGCACTTCCGCGGCCACCCAGATTGGGTGCACCTTCTGCCTGTGAGCATGAATAGGACCCGAGGACCCTTTCATCATAAACGGCTTGTGAGACTCGAAAACCCGCGCGTTTGGCTCAGGCGGCTTCCAGTGTGCCTTTTCTATACTCTCATGCCGCCGGGCCACCGCAGCGGACTAGGGAACTTACTGCCTTTGCTCAGAGGTTCTTCTGTCTGGGAGGTGCGGTGTACCTGCGAGCTGTGAACTGTTACTTTGACGGGCTGGGCCCCCCCCGCCCCTGTTGCGAAATTTGCTGGGCCCCCTGGCTTGATGAGCCGCAGCTTCAGATCGGCTGCCTGGACCTCCGTGTCTCTTCGGCGTCTCAGAGGGATTCCACTCGCAAGGAGCTGAAGAAGAATCCCCCCTACTTGGCAGCCCCACGAAGGGATCGTCCTTCACGTCGGGGCTGAAGAGGTCCAGCTGAAGCTTCCGCTTTCCAGCCTCCGAATCCGGGTACCTGGCGTAGCGGGTCGGGCCCCGAGGACCCGGCTGCAAACCTTCGCAGCGCACTCCGCCGCGAGAATCTCTCGGTCTGGATGGGAGGATTCTCCGGAATGCCATCTGGCGATCATCTCCTCGCACCTTGCTGGATCCCGAACAACAAGACCCTCACTGAGCTCCCCTGGATGCTGGGAAATCCGGTCATGCCGTGGAACGTCTGCTGGCAATCGTCGAAGAAGGACTTCTCTTCGTCCTTCGGGAGTCGCTGCTCTTCCGGCAGGGCCTCGACACGCGGCCCGAGGGAAATGACGATTGAAAGCTTCTATCCTGGGATGACTCCCTTTTCCGACACTCTTGGAATAGAGTTCTTCGCCTGAGGAAGTTTACTATATATGCCGGCAAAGGTTAGGGCAACATTGTATTTGGGCATCTGCCACCTCTCTTCATGTGCTACTTCTTGACAGAGGTCAGGCTGCACAGACACACACTTCCCATGCCAGATGCAACTGAAACGTGGGTATCGAAACGAGCGAGTTCTTCCATCCAGACTGTGCCCTCTCCGCAAAGGTACACACCTACACATCCCACACAGAACCTCTTGCATCCTGCAGTGTTCTTACTGAATCTCTGCAGACTCGAGTGGAAATCGAGGAGGTCACAAGTCTCCGGCGAGCTCCAAATCTGAACCCGCACTGCATCCTCCTTTCACGGGACATGCCTCCCAAGCTCGTGTCATGTTCTCCAAAGTGGTTGCGAACTGCTCTGCGGTGATGGGCATCTCAGCGACAGGATTGAACATGCTCGAGCCACAGCCGCAGCTTCTCTCCATCCCGCCTTGGCAGATAATCTTTTGGCCGCAGGTTTTGAGCCAAATGGCTGCTTTCCCATTGCGAGCTTTCTGCACCAACGATATCACACTGCATGCACGGCCACTGGCTACATTGTCTTTCAAAGTACGACCGGACCGGTTTTCCTGTCCGCGAAAGCACAGATGACTTGGTCACTGACCGGATCCGCGTGAGTCTGTCTTGAATCTCGGCTTCGCTGGCGTAAGGCTTCAATTCAACTTGCCCCTGTGCCCTCCTGCACAGTCTGGCACCGTGAGCTCCGACTGAGAGTCGACCTGCTTCCAGTCCAGGTTATTTCAGGAATCGTCAGCAATCCGGGCAAACGGATCCCTCAAGAAGGAGGGCCGACAGGTTTCTGCCTGGGCACCTCAATTCGGTGTGCTCCAGGGAGTCCAGCTTCCAGTTTGAACACCTCCGCTTTTGCCGAGGAACTGGGTTAGAGCTGGTCAGCCAGTAAAGGTAGTTGTGGACGTCGCAAGGGCAGCGGGGAATTCCTCGTGCCTAGGTGCGAAGATGAAGGCTTTGATTCCCAGATCGAACTGCTCTGCAAACTGCTCCCATATTTCGGGACCAAGTCTTTCAGCGTCTTCCTGGACCCGGATTTCTCCTTGACGGTTTTTGTCAAAAGCTCCATCAAGCTGCACATCTCTGTGCCTCCGCTTTTGCCCAGTCGGTCCAGCAATGATAAGCCTCCTCTTATGTTCCAGGCTTTCTCTTTCTCGCCACGTTGCAGAGTTTCGACACAGCGCTCCCACATTTTTAGCAAAGGGCGCCTGAGCTGAACGTTTGCTGTGTGAGCAGACAGTGGAATCGGCTACGACGTTTGCGCCTAGGCGCTTGCAATAACAGGAGCGGCCATCGATGAGAGGGGTGCTGAATCCCATTGAAAGTACATCAGTCAATTCAGGCCGCTGCCGGACTAACCTGCTTTTTGAAGAACCTGACTGGCTGCTGCAGCATGCCCAATTGCCCGTGACATGGCCAACAACATCGAACAACTGATTTAGGCAGGAGATCCATATAAAACGCCCACTCCCACGAACTCCCACGACCCTATCGACATGGTGGTGCGAGACGTTCCAACATGGTCGCTAGCACTGGGCCATCAGACTTGGTCGAGCAGGGCACGCCACTCTGGTACCCAACAAGTCAGGAACAGTCCAGGGTTCCCGGAAAGGCGCTGTCAGGAATTGATTTGCGTACATTCGGTCACTTCACCTAGCAATCCGGACCGACTTGTCTAGAGAGCTTGAACACAAACGATTTGCCAAGCTTTGTAAGATGTAGAGCCTACCACTGCCATGCCAACAAATCCAGAACAGTAAGCTCATGCCCTCTTTTTGGTGACGAGGGCTGCGGCACTCCAGCCCCTGACAGAGGCATCAACGCTTGGCTAAAACCAATGCGCCATGCATGCCGGGCGCTTCTGGAAGATGATGTCGGGACGCGTGTGAGAAAAGACCTCGAACACTTCCTGCGTGACCCCGACAACCGACAAAAGCGGAAGACTTGAAGACAACGAGACGGGTACCGCCGATTTGCACGCTCTGTTGGCTCCAAGTTCGCCGTGCGCAGTCTGTACACAGGTGGGGGGGTTGCTCCATGTTATGGTTCCCTCAGATGGACGGAGACTTTGCTTGTGATATACAGTTCCCCAAACCGAACCGCAACTTGCAGCAATCCCATCAGCGCAGGCTCGATTGGAATAAATTCGCAGCTCACAAAATCGAAGGGGATCGAGAAGGGCCGGGGTCTCTCCCGGCTTCTCTGGTCTCTTCCGGACCCAGCGAAGGGGCCCCAAGAACGACAGAACGTGCAGAGGGAAGAATCAGGGTACGGTCCTTCCTTAAAAATAATTATACCCCGACCTTGCAGCGTGGCTCTCAAAGCGCTTTGAGATGAGATCGGAGGCCTCGTGGCGGTCCTGGGCTTTTGGCGAGGCGAGGAAATTTCCTCTCAGCCCGTCCGGACAAGAATGTGTGATGCAACGGAATGCAGGTGGAGTACGCTGAAGCTTAAGGTACGCAGAATCACTTTGAGCATCAAGGAGCAACAAAGAGCCAGCTGCTCAGAACGGAAAGCTCAACCCTCACAAACCACAGCGGATGCGGGCCTGAGCAAAGATTGGAGCTGTCTCTGGCTGCGCCATGAGGAGCACAGCATCCACCTTAGCTGCTGTGCTGCTAGTCCGGCATGACGACACGCTGAAGGCTTCAGTTTGGCTCCTGCAGCCTATGTTTTCGGGCTCAAGATGTCACAGCCATCGCTCTCGCTCCCTCAGGTGCTTCACTGTCTCTTCATGGTGTAGGAACGCACGTGCTTTGCGCTTGGCTCTGCTTCGGACACCAAGATGGGCTTATGCGTACTTTCGAATTTGATCTTCTCTACCTCTTCTTGGCTGTAGGCTTGTCGAGGCCGGCCGAGCTTCCACAGGACGAATCCAGAAGCGCTCCTTCTGCACGATTGCAAAGGCCTGGGTCTTCTCCCGGAGCTCCTGCTCGGAGCCGCTTCTCTGAGAGGACGGAGGGAGGCCTATAGGGTAGGCCTCCGAGGGTCTTGGGGGCACGATTGGGGGACAATGCTGAAGCGCTGGAAAGCCTTCTCTCCGCGTTCGAGCAGCCCGCAAGAGTAACTTACTCGCGCGTGCTGGTGGCCTATCTGAGCCATTTGCCATTGATTTGTTGCCAGAAGACTCGCGAGAGCTTTCGACGATCCGTCTGTCTCGACTGCCTGGGCCTAGATTTCCCGAATCTACTGTTGAAAGAGGAAGGAGTCAAGCGAAGTATATAGCAACATCTGGGTAGCTCTCCAAATTAGGGCGCCTTTTGGGGTCCCCCAATGTAGTACGGCACCCTTAAGGGTAGGGGCCCTAAAAGGGACCTTCATTTAGAGAACTAGGATGAACTGCCCATATAGCAACAGGCCGTCCTCCGCTGGCAATCGCTCCCGAATGATCGGAAAGAAGCAGCGGTATGCCATTATCGGCGAAGGCCACCTCGACTCCAGGCTGAGCGGACCGAACTTGCCAGCTTGGGTCGCGTCGCGCCTGCAAAAGTAAAAGTTAAAAGCCTGCAGCTGTTTGGTGCTTCCTGCCGAGTCACACGAAATCGGTGAAATCCAACAGGACCACGATGTCCTGAGAACAGCTTGGACGAGGGACCAGGCAATCTATCAGTTACCAACCTTTCCACACCTTATGCACGCAGGCCCTCTATCCCGAACGAAGCCGTCCTTCTTGATTCGCTCGGCAGCTATGCGGTTCACCTGATCCAAGCACTCAGCGACATCACCTGGGAGCTTCCCACTGCCAGGGTGCGTTGGAGGTCGGGCACGCGACTTCAGGCGAAAGTTATGGGTATCTGCTTTGCTTGAGAGTGGACATCATGCGAGTTCTCCGCGAGCCAAGCTTCGAGTCAAATCTAGAACAAACAATCCCGGAAAAAGTTGGCCCCGATGTCCAACGCAAGCCAAGGCGGATAAAGGGCCCCCTGAAGCCCCTTCGAACCACAACCGACGTTCCCGTGCAATCCCACTTTTACTGCCACAACGACGACTACTGCGACTAACGCTAAAATTGCTCCGCGAGTCAACTTAGAGGATACACTGGCACTGCGACACTGCGCAACGAATACACCGATACCTTTCGCCATAGCCACTTAATCCAATCAGATTGCCAAAATGCTGAACCTCTGCAGGGAACCCCAACTGCGACCGACCATAGTACTAGCACAGTCACCAGTCGTCGTCGAGCCATAGGGGCATACAACGAGGCGACCGAGATCTTGCGGTCCACCCTTCTCCTGAGCTGCAGGTTCGGACGGATCTTGGCCGGAAACTCTCAACTTAACATCCAAACTGCAAACTTTGCCATATGGGACGCAGTCACGTCATAGATGACATCATAGCAATTTCCACGAAAAGCAACAACGCTTTGAGCAGCGGCCTGGGCGGGTGCTGTCTGAGTGGGTGCAGGAACTGTTTCGTTGAATGGCATAGGTTTCGGCACTGATGTAGAGCAGTCTTGATCATGCTGCGATCAGGAGCAAATGAGGGACGATGATGATGATGATGATGGTGATGATGGTGGTGATGATGATGACGACAGCGACGATGTCGATGACGATGATGATGGTGGTGGTGGTGATGCTGATGATGATGATGATCATCATCATCATCATCACGAACATGGGGAGGATGACATGACCACGGCGCACGAAGATCATGATGACGACGATGAGGAGGAGTGTGCTGCTGCGTGTGCTGGTGAGGGTGCTGGGGCAAGGCCTGGTGTGACTGCTGGTGCTGGTTCTGGTGGTGGTGCTGGTGCGGCGGCGATGGCGATGGCGATCTCATGGTCGTGATCTCGCTGATGATGACGATGAGGATGAGGATGAGGAGGATGACGGTGACGATGATAATGACTATGAAGATGATGATGATCACGCTGATGTGCGGTGGCAAAAGTATGATGGCAGGGCGGCATGCTCTGGTGGCCGCCTCTCCTCCTGCACAGCATAGCAGTCTCAAGTAGCACCGCATCGGGCCAATGTTGGTCTTTTCCTCTTGCGGCTCCAGTGACAAAGGGGGGGCCTTGGCCCCATTCAGCTCGCTAATAAGCCAAGTCGCTGGCTTGGACACGTCTTTGGAGGATCCGAAAGAGCCAGCAGCTTGCACCAGCTTGGACGCCACTAGTGGCGCTGCCAAGCAGAGTAGGCCTCGTCAAACGCGGGCGCAGGCGCGTGTGCGCGACGACACTGCGTGACAGTACGTGAGTCTGCATGTTGTGTCGTGGACGCCACCAGCATATATGGTTCGTTGATCGAAAGATGTGCCATTGTCCTAATCAACAACTGTCTGATATGCCTTTCACTGGTAGGTTGTTTCCCTGCCGGCTTCCAAAAACTGACTTCCTTGTTGCTACTTTCGCCACACATACCCGCTGCACTGCACCAAATTGTCCCACAAACCCTGCAGAATGCAGGAACCCGCTTAAGGGTTGCAATGCCTACTTTTGCCTGTGCCTGAGCGTCGCAACATCCGAGCGCGGTCGACCACCAGGAATGCCAGGCGGGTCGACGCATTCTGCTCCTTCGGAGGCTTCCGGTTTACGAACCCTGTAAGGGTTTAGGGTTCAGGGCTTAGGGTTTAGGGTTCAGGGTTTAGGGTTTGTAAGACTTGTAGGAGGGTTGCAGGGCGAGCTGCACAAAGCTACCGAAGGAAGCGATCCGGCTCGTACTCGCACCATGAAGCCACAGAGCAAAATCTGAAAAAATAAATGTGCACCGATGCCAAGAGACTGAAAGCAGGAGTTGGTTTGACTTCGAGCCCTGACCCCGCAAGTCTTGAACCAGCTTCCAAGGGTGCGTCCGAGGCTCGCTGCCACGGCTCGCCCCCATCAAACTCCAGTGCCTCGAAACAAAACGTAGACCTAAACCCTAAACCCTAAACTTTTAAACCCCTAAACCCTAAACCCTAAACAGACCTTTCAGGCTTTTTCCACTGATCCTCGGCATGGGGGTTTAGGGTTTAGGGTTTAGGGGCTCCTAGGTTGCCCGATACCCCTGCAACTGCGCAAGAAACGGAGACTGAGAGTTTCATAGGCCCGCCATTACTTGCAGTCGCCTCGTCAAGGGCAGGCGCAGATGATAGCGGTCCATGACCATGTGTAGTCGGAAGTTATAGGGGCGGTCCTGCTAACAAGAAGCCTGTATTGGTCCTCCTGAGATCAACATCGACTGAGACGCTAATGAGACTGTCCACATGCGTGTGCATGCGCTGCAGCTCATCTAGTGCCTCATACTGGCGTGCCCCGAAGCATGCAACTTCGAGCCATACATCAAGGGCAAGAAGCCTGCGCCGTGCAGCTGCCTATGAACTCATTGCACCGCCAACGGTGCGATGTGGAAAGCATCCAACAACATGTCTCTGTGTTCGGACTTTCACACTTCCATCGCACTGAAGGCTCTGTACCCTCCCGTTCTCTCCCAGACGGAGAGGCCTCGCCCAACGTCGCTCGTGCGAGGCCGTGGGCATGCTCTGCACTCCCCTCCCGAGGGGCACAGGGCTCTGTGCGAAAGCTTTGTTCGTGTTCCGAATTCCATGGCAAGAATCGGCGCTCCAAAACCGAGCAGCCTTTTGTGCTTCGCGGTTCCCCTGCCGTCACCTGACACCGATCTTTGGCCTCAGGGCCCTTCACTCTATGCAGCACCGAAGGGCCAGAAGCTCCCGGTGCACTACTCACCTCACCGGAGCGAGAAAAGGCATATGCCTTAAAAGCCCTGTTCTCATGAGACTGGATGTTGAGAGCAGGACCCTTTGATGCCTTCTTCTCTTCATCAGACTGGGTGAGCTGGATGATGGCAACCACCTAGAAACCAGAACATTAACACTCTGCAAACTCCTCTTTTGTGATGGCAGGGATAGCACATTGCTGTCCTTTTCTGGTTGGGGACCCGGCAATAAGGGCGCATGTGACACCGGCCATGCATATTTTGACGTTCGGGTCGCTGAGTGCCGCCCAGATTAGCTGTGTCTTGTCCAGCTCCTGATGATCGCGGGACGGGAAGTCGGAGCTTCTCCAGCAACTTGCTCCAGTCCTCATCGTCGGTCATCTTGTGCAACAAGTTCGCCAGCGCGCCGCCGGCTGTGGTGTAGATGACCTCAGAGGTTATGGGCAGGAGACATTCACGGCTTCTCGGAGAGACCGGGGGTTACACCGATCCGGGGATGCAACTCACAGAGGTTGCAGCGATGAAGGTCCTGAGCCGGAACACATAGCTTCTACCTGAAAGGCCGAAGGAAGGCCGGAAAGCCGGCGCCTGCATCGAACGCCTACCAGTGCAGCTGCACCGTTCACGAAGAAAAATGGGAAGACCTCGATTCTGAAAAACCGATTGAAGGAAAGGGGAAGGGCCCCCTTTTTTGTTGGCAAACTCCGCATCTCTGGGCTTCCTTCCATTGTGTAGCGAGCGGCCACGAGGTAGGCGAAAGCATTGCGACCTGCTCGGACTTTGGGTTTTTTTTTTAAGCACCTTTTTCCCCCTAGCACTTTGGGGGGTTTAGGGTTTAGGGCTTAAAGTTAAGGGTTTTCCTGTTGGGTCTGGCAGGGTCCGCTGGCGTCACTCGGAAGCGAAACACTCTACTCTCTTCCTGTCCACAGCTAAGCTTCCAACGCACGTTGGCCTGGTCGAGTACAAAAAAACTCCCCGCAGGTCGCGCTCATGATTCCTGCAAGCCTCGAACTTCTGGTAAAGCTGGGAGTTGGCAGCCAGGCGCTTCCGCCTTTGCAAAGAGAGAAAGGGTGTTGTGGCTGCTGAAGCCCTCTTGAGGACGCGCACATGTAGTCTCCCAACACGAAGGTCGTCACAAAGTATGAAATTGTCGCACCGATCTGAGTGTGTCAGAGAAGGCAGTTGAGAACTGCCCTACAAGGCCGAAGGCTCGGCGCCCTGCGATGTAACCACAATATGCGTACGCGCTGGCGTAGGGCCTGAGAGACAACGTGTCTTCTGCTTGCAGCAACTGCTGCCTCAAGTCTGGGATTGCAGCTGCTTGAACAAGACCCCGCCAAGGAAGCTGAGCATTGTCGCACCTCTCAGGCCGAAAAGCTGCAGTCTCTGTGGAAGCAGGGCTCTTCGGAGCAAGCCAGCATCTAAACACTCCAACCTGGACAGGTGATCCCGATCACTGCAACCAGGACTGCGATCTCAGCGAGTGGCCAAGCAAGAACAGGGAATGATGAATAGTCAAACTGCAACTGCAAGCCAACATCATCCTACCATCCGGGCACCGGGCGTAGCAAAGCGGCGCTAGAACTGGATTTTGATCCACCAGCGTCGTGATGAAGTCATGATTCCTGTGCTTCACTGAGCTCTTCGTCGGATGCGGCAGACACCCAGGAGATCGGTACTGCGTGTGGTTTGTCTTTCGGGCAGTTGCTGCACTGCATCCGCGAATATTGTATGTGCATGCACCCGGCTGCTATCCATCCATGTATCCAGCCGATCCTCCAGCTATCTGCGGAACGGTCTGTTTTTCTTCGGTACATGCTACATACATGCGTTCATACATGCAGACATACACATGTACATATAGGCATAGATACACACACACACATATATATATATGTATGTATATACACACATGCAAACACACACACACACATACATACACATACTACAAATACCAGAAACCCCTACACATCCCTGAACGCCCCCGCCCCCCCCAAGGTACCTGCACACACACACACACATATGCTCGTGTGCATGCAAATATGCATACACATACACACACCTATACATTTACATACATCTTCATGCACAGACATACAAATGCACACATATACTAACCATACAGACCTAGACATACATAGCCATCCACATAAACACAGAGACATACATAAACATACACAGACATACCTGGACATGTACATAGCCATACATACATAAACATGCATATATATATATATATACATATGTATTTATGTATGTATATATATATATACATCATAATTATATATGTATATTATACATATACATATATATATATAGACACACATACACACATATAGTCACATAGCCATACATAAAAAATTGCCGTTGCCGTTGCTGCTGCTGCTGCTGTTGCTGCACGATGACAGCTACGTAATCTAACTGTCCTCTGCTTGCAGGGTCCTGCCGGGTCGATGACACCCGGCGCGTTGTTCTAACACAGGATTTCGTCAGAAATCATAGTGAAAGCCGATTTCAGCACGGAGGACAGCCTGCATGCTTTTTGCCAGCGCTGGTCCAACGAAGCGGCCAAGGCAAATGCGGATATCGGGACTGATCATCCCGACGTACGAGTGATCAGCGTACTTACTTGTTGCGCATTTCAACAGCTGTTGTGCAGGTGCATTCTGTTGAAACTCTTCGGAAGCCAGTTCTGGCAGTCAGTGTACACCTCCTTGTTGGCTTGGACGGAGGATCTCAGTTCTGACTGAAGTCGGCAATCGCGCCGCAAAGCCGACAGTCTGGCAGATAGACGTTCCAACGACATGGTTGATGTCGAACGGGTTTCCTCAAGATTTTTGAACCTTTCCATCCTTTAATGGTTGTTGGTGGTGGTGGTGTTGTTGGTGTTGTCGGTTGTGTTTGGGTTGTTGGTGTTGTTGGTGTTGTCGGTTGTGTTTGGGTTGTTGGTGGTGTTGGTGGTGTTGGTGGTGTTGGTGGTGTTGGTGGTGTTGGTGGTGTTGGTGTTGTTGGTGTTTTTGGCGTTGTTGATGTTGTTGGGGCGTTGTGGTCTTGTGGTGCTGTTGGTTTTGATGTTGCTGTTGCTGTTGTTGGGGCGTTGTGGTGTTGTGGTGCTGTTGGTTTGATGTTGCCGTTGCTGTTGCTGTTGTTGTTGGTGGTGGCGTTGGTGCTGTTGCTGTTGCTGTTGGTGGTGGTGCTGTTGCTGTTGCCGCAGCTGTTGCAGTTGCTGCTGCTGCTGCTGCTGCTGCTGCTGCTGCTGGTTGCTGGTGGTGCTGCTGGTAGTGCTGCTGCTTGTGCTGCTGCTGCTGCTGCTGATGTTGGCGCTGGTGGTGTGCTTGTGTGTGTGTGTGTGCTTGTGTGTGTGTGTGTGTGTTTGTGTGCGGGTGTGTGTGTGTGTGTGGGTGTATGTGGGGAACTCTGTTACCAACAGCCAGCAAGCATACTCTTTTGTATATTGCAAGGGGGCAACCCCGTGAGCATAGCTGGTTGCCCAACGAAGAAGAGGGCTATGCCACGGCTGATACTGGGTCTGATCAACCCAGCGTACCTGCCAGTCTTTTTGCAAGTGTCGTATGCTAGTGCTTTCTGCAACGTCATGGCTTGGGGCTAAGCCTAGAACCCCACAACTGCCCCAGTGGCTGACATTGTCACCTCTGTCATTAAGAATCTTGCAGAAACAAGTCAAGCAGAGGGAGGATTGCACTTGCGTGCGTGCGTGCGTGCGTGCATGCGTGCTTGCGTGCGTGCGTGCGTGCGTGCGTGCGTGCGTGCGTGCGTGCGTGCGTGCGTGCGTGCGTGCGCGCGAGCGCGCGAGCGAGCGAGCGAGCGTGCGTGCGTGCATGCGTGCGTGTGCGCGCTGCTGCCTGTCTGCCTGTCTGTGTGTCTCAGTCTCTTGCTGTTTCCGCGCTTGCGAGTGTGTGCAACATATGTACATGTGCAGGTGTACTACCTGGAAAGATTCAGTCACTTAACTATGTGTATTATATGCATATTAGTATAGGCAACTGTATGGGTATGTGCATGCCTATGTATATTTGTATGGACATGCATGTGTATAAGTCATATATGCGTGTACACATATGTAAACTGACTATAGTATTTGTATATGATGCACATAAGTACAGGCGTACGGAGCATCTGCATCTGCATCGGGTTTATGTATCTGCAGGCGTGCATACCTGTCTGTCCACATGTACATCACATGTGTGCGCTTGTATAAACCTAACGCGAAGAGAGCGAGAAGGAGAGAAGGAGGGAGCGGAGAAGGGAGAGGGAGGGAGAGGGAGAGGGAGCGGGAGCTGCAGAGGGAGGGAGGGAGGACATCGCAAGTTAGCCCGGTCCTACGCAAGCTCGCGACTGTGAGAAGGTGATGAAACCTGGTACGGTTTGCGGGGAGGGCCTGCATTTAGCTTGAGGAAGCACGAAACACAGGTGCGGCACCGAACGTACAGTGCGACAGAGGTTGAGACGACGCTGACCTCCAGCTTAAGACAGCAAGGTCTGACACAAGCAAGCCAAGTTTTTCGGCGGCTGCAGAAGATACTTGGACGTTTCCGACGCGACCATTCTAGTGTAGAGTGTAGACCTGTCGAGATCGCTGCCGCTGTCTTTCGCTTGAGTCGGTGGCTCCTGCAAGTATTCGCCACTTGCCGCTGGCCTTAATGCCACAACGCAGACATTGCGAACCAGGCACTCCCAAAACCAGCACGCAGGGAAGCTTGGAAGCTCAGGAGACCGCTGCGGGCGAACCTGAATCGCCACCTGTCGCAAAGGTTGGCTTCTAGCCTAGACACTCATGTAACCGATGAGTGTGATGATGTCAACTCCAGTGCTAAACCCTCAACGAACGGCACCCGGCTGAAACTTCCTTATGGGAGATGGCTCCACCCAGGCTGGAGGCCTGTGCCTGCCATGTCGAATAGCCCTGGAGGCTCCACCGTGTGTTGTTGTTTTGTTCCTGTGGTCTGCATGGTTCTTGTGTTGTCATTTGTGTGGTGCGATGGTCTTCGAAGTGTGCTGAGGGATGCGGCATCAAAGCTCAAGAGCCTGCTGAAAAACAAACGTCCCACGATCCGGATGCAAGTTGCCTGGACACTGGGTGTCGGAGGTCCCTTTTTGCGCATGCACGGCAATGCAATCAATCACCTCGATTTCGGCGAGGACATCTTGGGGGAAGTCCGCGAGGACAGCCCCCTATTCAAAGGCGGGGGGCTGCACGCGGAAAACCGCCTTCTCAAGAAACCATCCACGCCACCTGTCATAGCTTGGACTACAGAGAAAACGTTCTCAAACAGGACCCAGATGAGCGGCCTTGCAAATTAGATCATCGAAGTCGTCGCCAGAAAGCGACACATCCTGGAAGAGCCATGCAGGTGTGAGAGCGAGAGTGCTTGAAGCTTTGGCAACAAACTTCAGCGTCCTCCTTGAAGAGGTTCGAAACCTTATCCTCATCAAATTGCTGGAAACGGTCTTCCTGAAAGCAGGAATATTGCATCCTCCGTATTGATGGAGCGTCGGTTGACATGTCAGGATCAGGAGATGGGCACCCGGCATCATGGCACATGATTAGCCCCGAGATCTCGCAGATTGCAGCATTGAGGCCACTATCCTCTCCTCAGCCAGCCCAGTCTCAACTAGACATGCCCTGCTGCTGTGATTCTGACCGCGATTTGTAACATGATGAAACAGGCCTCAGACCATGTGTCAGGCAAGTACCACAAGCAGCAGCTGCAGAGCAATAGAGGCAGCCGCGCAGTAGGCAAAGCAGCAACATAGCAACCACTGCGACTCCTCCTGCACTGCTATAATACTGGAACTAGTACCCCAAGCCCCAAAAGCAGACGCTGCTGGCTATCACCTAAACCCTAAATTCGCAAACTCCAAACCCTAAACAGAAATACGAGTTGACAAAGCCCAATGACAGTAGCAGTAGCTTGGTCTCCAGCTTCCCAGCTGCGTCTCTGTTCTGTGGCTCTTTTTTTCGGTCTTTCCCGACTATCCTACTGCTTTTGCTTCAGAAACGTCTTCCGCGTCGAGGTTGCAAACTCCAACAAACAGGGTCAGAGGACGGGGGTCGAAGGCTGGCTTGGGGGGGGTTGGGGTCCACATTGGTCGCAACACATTCCTTTCAAACTGAATTTTGCAATGGGCCTGCGGCTAGAATCTAGGAGGAGGAGTACGAGAAGTAGGAGGGAAGTCAAGAGCAGGATCTGTGGAGAAGAAGTAGGTAGGCAAACGGTAGCAGTAGTCGTCGTAGCGGTACTGGCAGCGGCAGCAGCAGCAGCAGCAGCAGCAGCAGCAGCGGTAGCCGTAGTAGCTGTAACGGCAGCGGTGGCAGTGGTGATAGCGATAGTTAGTCGTAGTCGCAGTCGCAGCCGTGGTCACGACCGTAGTGTTAGTCGTTAGTGGTAGCACCAGCAGCCGCAGCCGAGAATACCACGAGGATCCATTCGAGTATGAAGTCCTCGTGCGCAGACGACACAGAATAATGACACAGTGGCTGTACCAGTACTTGGACAGTAGGAAGAGCACGATAAGGACGAGGACGAAAAGGAGAAGCAGCAGATAACAAAATTGGCCAACAACAGCTCTCGCTTGTTGTGGTGTCATCCCTCGTATCAGCATAAGAAGCACAGATAAGACTTCAATCATCGAACGGCTCAAGACTTGTCAAGCAGCAAGCTTCATTGTCATACTTACATCGCTTCAGCCGCTTCAGTTCTCACATGTTCCTGCAAGGATCTGAGCTTGCCCTCCGGCCGCCTGGGGAAGATGTAGACCTCGCTGAGTCTGGGAAATTTCACCAGTTGAAACACAGGCAGCAGCAGCAGCAGCAGCTACAACAGCAACGAGCTTCAGAACCGGCACCCAAACGAAGGTGAAGAAGATGACAGCAGAACTAGCTCACAACCAGAAGCAAAAAGAAGCAAATTGGCGTGCCTGCTTCAAAGATGCGGAACGTGTTACTCTGCTCCACAAAGGCCATGGGTCTCCATCACACTTTCCGTGGTGCGTCTAGGGAAGTCCGAGCAGAAGAACACGGCTGGTACAGTTGATGACACTCACCGACCCTCTGGTGGCCGAAGAACCTTCGCAGCCCTTGTAACTAAACATAATTCAGTCAATGACATTAACAGAACTTCCTGGTTGTTGGATGAGGTTGCTTCGCAATGCTCTGCTTCTTGTTGCAGATTTTTGCGTGTCCTGGACGACAACAACAACAACAACAACAGCAACAGCAACAGCAGCAGCAACAGCAACACCACCAACACCAACAGGAGCAACAGGAGCCACACGAGCAACAGCATCAACGGCAGTAACTGCAACGACACCACCACCATCACCACCACCACCACCACCACCACCACCACCACCACCCCCCCAATGTGTGTTCTTGATGCGCTGGCTGCACAATCGTCAACATGGATTCGCACTGCACGGTTGTACATCTCCTGCTCACGACGACGAGGACTAGATGCCATCATGACAAGTTAACGGCAGAACACCGCGATGATTATGATGATGATGATGATGATGACGACAGGGACAATCAAGATCATTGCTATTGTTGTGTCGACTGTGGTCATTGCATGGCTGCCACCCAATAAAAACAGGCATTACCGTCCGGCTGGGCTGGCCTCGGGCGATGCTGCCAGGGGCATCCAGGTCTCTTCCGCAAAAATGTCCCCATAGTCCCTGAGGGTCACTTGCGGGTTTGAAGCGGCGGCGCGAGCAGCAGGTTTGGTCAGACTTCAGGCTGAGGGAAAAAGATGTGAGAGTCGTGCCAAGCGAGCCTTGACTTCCGCTCGCCCTGGTATGGCGCGATCATGACCTCAACACCCCCATAGGCTGGCGGGCGAGGCTGTGACCGGCAGCTACGGCCCAGGCGTTGTGAGGGATATTCCTGCCATGAAGCGAGTTGTGTAGTCAAAGAGCTTGCATTTGATCGAGCTCCTCGACTGCAAAAGTCCGATCACGTTTCCGGCGAAAGAGGCCAAGGCCTCAAGGCCAGATTGCACCCATACACTGCACACATCTGCACGCTCGCTACCTCGAGGTCTGCCGGTGGGGGGTCGCCGGCTGCGCCGATGGCAGAGCCAGCTGTCAGAACCTGGGGGCGGGTTCTAGGCACGACCTGGTCTCGTCCCGTCAACGTTTTGGCTGAGGTCGGTGCAAATCCCCGACAGTACCACTGTGACTCTGCCAGGAGCTCAACACAGAGCTTGCCTTCCATGCCATACGATCAACCATGCTCTAGCTGGTGCTGCCACCGCTCCGGACCGGATGTTCTGCCACCGCCCACGGTGGAACGCTCCACGCGCTCCACAGGGAATTGCCTCTTCCGCAGGTCATCAGATGAGCTCAGCGAACAACAGCCCTTCTGCGAGCCTTTGACTAAAGCCACAGTACTCCAAGTAGAGGCCATGGTAGTGGAAGTGGTTCACCGAAGCAAAGCCCAGCCTCAAAACTCGCAGAGGCCCGTCACGAAACTCTCTTCGAGAGCTCTAGATCTGAGAGCAGTGCATTGAGTTGAAGAGGAGCCGGAAGTCTCTCCTCCAAGACTTGCCGACGAGGTCCAGCCCGCATCGCAGGAGCTCCGTCGTCAGCACCTGCCGACATCTACCCGTCCACGGCTAGGGTGAGACCGCTCCCCCCCTCGGCCTGTGGAGCAGCCGCATCCCTCCGCGGCACCAACAACCTCAGCTCCCCGGAGCTCGCCGAAAAAGCTCGGGCTCCGGCTCCCCTCGGCCCGCGGCATGTGACCGATCGCTAGCGGGGAGCCGCATGCGAGGACCTGGGGGACCCGAGCTGCATCGCAACATCCGCCGCTTTCGCACTCTGTGGCCGCTGCACTCACTGCAAACTCCGAAGAGTCCTCGACCTCAGAGCTGGCGAAGCTAGGAGACATGTCAAAGATCGGGCCACCAAGGACGGCGAGGCACCCCAACGAGCTCCTCCGAAGGGACCTTGTTGAAATTGAATGCCTGAGAAGCATCAGAGGAGGCCAGGGAACTCTATGCTGAAAGTACTGAGGACAGCGATGATGATGACGACGACGACGATGATGATGATGATGATCATGATGATGATGATGATGATGATCTTGATGATGCTGCTGATGCTGACGATGCTTATGCCGCTGATGCTGATGATGCTGATGATGCTGATGATGCTGATGCTGCTGATGATGGTGCTGATGATGATCATGATCATGATCCCCCAGCTATCAAATGCTGCTGGCACAGCCCTGCGGCTGCGGCTGCTGGCTGCTGGTGGTGCTTATGGTGCTGCTGCTTGTGCTGCTGCTGCTGCTGGTGCTGCTGCTGGTACTGCTGCTGGTACTGCTCGTGTTGTTGCTATTGCTGGTACTGCTGCTGGTACTGCTGATGTTGTTGCTATTGCTGATGCTGGTGCTGGTGCTGGTGCTGGTGCTGTGGCTGGTGCTGTTGCTGTTTGCTGCTTGCTGAAGCTGTTTGCTATTGCTGTTTGCTGTTTGCTGTTTGCTGTTGCTGTTTGCCGTTGCTGTCTGGCGTTTGCTGTCTGCCGATTGCTGCTTGCTGTTGCTGTTTGCTGCTTGCTGATTGCCGTTAGCTGTCTGCCGTTTGCTGCTTCTGTTTGCTGTTTGTTGTTTGCTGTTTGCTGCTGGCTGATTGCTGTTTGCCGTTGCTGCTTGCTGTTGCTGGTTGCTGTTTGCTGTTTGCTGTTTGCTGTTGCTGTTTGCCGTTGCTGCTTGCTGTTGCTGTTTGCTGTTGCTGCTTGCTGTTGCTGGTTGCTGCTTGCTGTTGCTGGTTGCTGTTTTCTGTTGCTGTTTGCCGTTGCTGCTTGCTGTTGCTGGTTGCTGCTGCCGCTGCTGCTGCCGCTGCTGCCGCTGCTGCTGCTGCTGTGGGTCTTGGCTGCTTCATTACCATCACTTCTCTCACTCGTCTGATTGTCTTATGTGTTTGGCCTCTGGAGGTGCGGAGTCGTAAGAGCAGGAAAAAAAAAACATCACGTCAGCCCTTCAAGGCCTCCGGATCAGCATCCATCACCACCTCCTTGTCGCCACCTGAAGTTGCGAGGGCGCGGATCGCCACTGTGGCTGGTCAATTCAAACGAATCTTGCTACACGCACTACAAAAAGTACATACTCAGTTAGTGGCTAGGAGTCTAGAGAGTGGCTGGTCCTGGACTCAAAATTCGTGCGCTCCGCAACAAAAGCTGAACGCCAGACCCTAAACACAACCGAACAAGCGTGACAAACTCCGCCCTATCCGATCCCTATCCCTGAACCCTCAGCCCGTACACCCTGGAAACACAGACCGCACCAAATTAAGATGGCTTTAACTAGGAGCTCGAACTGTGCGTGTGCTATCATGCGATATCCTGGCAAGGCAACATCATGAGAAAGCTTCCCTCATGATACACCACTGGGGCCCGACGAGTCATTTCCCGCTTCTTCGCGAAATGATCCGGGGAGTGCGACAGAACCAGCCCGAGATTCCCCTGCCAAGAGACGTTTGAGATTGCCCCTCACGGTGACCTGTATGTCAGCACTCTCAGGCAGCCCGTGTCCAAACCTCTAAAGTCAGCAACAGTACGAACTTGTTGTCAGCTGGAGGGGGACTAAGGCTTCACGGCAATCGTGGGTCGAACACAAGCATCTGTCACAAGCCGTTTCCAACTCCACATGGAGAGCCAACCGTAGGCTGCCACGATGCAGCCCCTGCACTCTTTAAACTTGGCCGACATCAAACTCCCTGTCTCTCTCTCTCTCTCTCTCTCTTCCTGATTGGATCGGGACCCTTAAATCCCTAAACCCTAAACCCCTACAATCAACCCTAAACCCTAAACCAACACAAGAAAGCCTAAACCCTAAACCGAAACCCTCCCTACAAAAAGCCCTAAACCCTAAACCCCCTAAACCCGAAAAACCCGACAAAGGACATCGGAAGGGGGCTCTTTGCAAGGGTTAAAAGGGGCACCTCCACAGTCCGGCGAACGATGCTCGAGGTCTGCGAGCGCCTTACTTTCAGAAGATCTTGCGGTGGGTTTCGCCTCTTGGGGTGTAGGGTTTAGGGTTTGGGGTCTAGGGTTTAAGTTGTTTTTAAAGCACCTTTTGCCGCCTAGCAGTTAAGGTCGAGGGTTTAGGGGTTTAGGGTGTAGGACGGTGTAACGGCTCCATGAGGGGATGAGCGGTTTATAGCTTTGGGGGCTTTGGGGCTTCGGGGCTTTGGGAGCTGGGTGCGGCACAGCAGGCCCCTGCTTGCAACTTGAGAGAAGCCATCCAGGAGCAACTTGTCAAAGACACTCTCCTTGGCCTCCGCACAGGCTCTAGGACTCGAGGGTTTTAGTTCAGAGTTTCGGGGTATTAGGACTCATTAGGAGTTCAGGGGTTGAGGTAGCCCCAGAACTGGACGCCTTCTCAGCTCTTGAAGCTGCGCAGCAATTGAGGACGAACATGGAAGTGGAGGGAAGTTCGTATGCTGCAATGTCTCCTTGTCACATGCGTCCTCCAGACAACATGCGCACGGAAAACGATCTAGTTTTGGAAAATCTCTACACATTGCAGACTGTTCTCTGCTACAGCCTTCTGCTTGAGAGAAGGCTTCAAAGGCGAGCCTCCAACAAGGGACCCCAGGCAGACGCTTCATGATGCGCTTTCCGGGAGCTGCCGGGGCTTTTTGTTGCTCTCTGCTGCAAAGGCGGCATGCTTCGCTCCTTTAGCAAGGAATGGTTTCAAAGAGCCAACCCTGCTCAGGTTCGGACATCGGCTGCTCTGAAGATGGGCTCGCACCGCATGACTCAAGGAGTCGCCAGCCGAAGGACGGAAGGACGGGGGGCGGAAGGTGCGAGAGTCCCTAGGGCCTAGAGTCTAGAGGGCCCTTTGGGGGCTTCGGGCTCTGTGCCCCGTTTCTCTTTAGGGCACCTGCGATTGATTCCCGCTCCCGCAAGTAACTCGCCAAGGATCCGGGGAGAAATGACCGCCGAAACACTGCCGCGCGCAACGCCTTGAAATTCTCACGTAGGAAAGAATCTGTGCGCCACGGAGGGAGTTTCGCCAAACCACCAAGGAAGCCAACTTGGGTAAAGACTCTTGGAAATGCATCGAACTCCCGCACAGTGAGGCAAAACTGAACAGCGGGCCACAACTTCTGCGGTCATCTTCCGTTTTTTGTGTTTTATGGCAAAAGTCCTGGATTATGATTCTCAACTACGAGGGCCAGCGATGCTGATCACCTCCTTCAGCGTAGCTTTCGCACCTAGACTTCACTGGAAAGGCCGGTGGCAGGAAGACCCTACCACAATTTCAGGAAGTTGCAGCCGAGCTGCATAGTGAAGCCAGTTCGGGCTCCACTCTTGAAGGTGCCGACGTGTTATATGACCCAATTGGACAAAGGTTGCCTTGCCCAAATGGAGCAAATCGAGCTTAAGATGCACAGGGGATGTGTGCGCATAGGGCATCGTGCTGGCAGGAACTCAGCGAAGTTTGCGGCAGCTTTGCGGAGGAGATTACGGGGCCGGGCGCCCTCGCCGAAAGACTCTCAGGGTCCGAAGCAAGCACACTGCCGCTTACACTTCGCTGACTGAGTGCCGCTTTAGGCAACCCAACTTCCATCTCACACGACGACCGCTCAGGTCGGCTCAGCAGTAGACTTGGCAGCCAGGGCCAGGGCATTCAAGAGTGAAGAGTCGCAACGATGCTGCCGTGGCGGTGGGGCAGTCCGCTGCCACAGAAGCTCGGCCGCACGCGCGCGAGGTCGCTGTCGCTCACTGTTCTCCTCATGACGGGAGCCTGGAAGTCGCAAGGGCCCAAAAAAAAGAGGCGGCGTGGGAGATGCTGGGAGGATGGGGGCCTCCATGTCAGGCTCAGAGAGGAACGTCCGCACTTCGATGGTCGGCATGGCAGCAGCCTCGGGCATTGCAGGAATCCCAAACTCCACACGCCCTTCGCAGATTGTAGGGGCATGGCATCGAGCAGCTCAAGTGCTGCAGCTCGCTTGTCAGTAGCCGCCTCAGGCAAGACACGTTTCAGGTGGCATTGTCAGATGCATAGCGGTGGCTTCTTGTTCACTAGACCTCGTCTTTGCTAAGACATCCCTCGGCGGTAAGCTGAAGTCTTCGCACAATTCGAAAGCAACAACTCTAAGCTCTGAGGGCACAACAGCAAGGATGGCGGCCGCAGCAGCTGCAGTATTCGCCCTCAGCTTTCCGCAAGCTTAAAAAGCTCGGGGATCAAATGCTCGAAGCGTCCCAGACTCCCGTCCCGACCCAACACAGCGACACTAAACTTCGAAGGGAGGACGAGCCTCAAGGATCCGCGGTTGTCGCAGTCCTGGACAGGATCATGTCGATTTCTCCGGTCTGGACTCCGAGAGCTCAGGAGGTGCGAGTCTCAGCGGCGATGTAATGCAGTCAACTACCGAAAAACGTCCGTTCAAGAAGGAAAATCCCGGCCTCGCTCTCAGTCTGGGCCGTGTCGTCGTCGTTTGGAGCAATGCTGCCCTCCGTGGAACCTTCAAACTCCTGGCCATGTTTGAAGTGATGGTACGGTGAACTCTTCAAGCAGCTCGATTCGATGCTTGCCACGACGTCTAAGACTTCGTGCAAGCTTTCCGCAAGATGCGTCCTCTAGCATCACTGTAGTTGTCGACCTCGGGAGCAAGGTACAATGGCAGCGGAACTTTGCCATGTTGGTCACATAAGCATGACACATCGCTTCCCTGAATCCTGAAGTCTGCAACACCAACAAAGCCTGGACATCCGGCACTAGCGTATTCTGCAATGCGATTTCATTTCTTGACTGTCTTCTCGCATCGCTGCATACTACATTCCGTGCTTGTCCCGGCATTTTCCATACAGCTTGGCCTCTGGTTCTTCTGGCATGAAGACACTCTATTGACTGACCCCTCAGCTAAAGCCTTCGAATGCTCTCGTTACCACGTGAATGCACTGCAAGCAGGGCGCAGTCCGAAACTCTAAGAGTGGACAAAAGCGACAGATCCACGACTGCTTCGGCAAAACCTGGCACACGGAGACAAAGAAGACCAGCAGTGACACCACGAATCTGCTAAGGGACCAAGCAGCATCAGGCGCTGACATTTTCCGAATTAAGTCAAAACTTGTCACAACTACAATCTCCGACTTTCCACCAAAAACACAAAGCCAACCTTCCTGGAACCTGGGTTGTCTGGAACGCAGAAACAATCCCGAAGCCAAAGCCCCCTACATCCTCACAGCCTCGTGAACAGACACCATATGTGCGTTCTCGGCGAGGATGTATGACATCGGCATACTGGCCAGTACTGCGTTGTGTTGTCCTCGCTCTTGGGACCTGTCTGCCTGATGTAGATACATATACATATACATACATACATACATACATACATACATACATACATACATACATACATACATACATACATACACACACACACGCACATATCATGAGACATCCGGTATCTAGTATCTAAGTGAATCTAAGACACAACATGTAACATTCATGTAGATACTTCACCTCTTCTCCAGCATAGGGAGCGAGCTAAGCTCGACCGCCACCAGGTGCTATCTTCTTCCAACTTGGTCGGGATGCGCGAAACCCCGGGGCCACCAGGGCCCTCCGTTCTGGTGCATTGAAGGGGTTGTGAGAACATGTTCTTCGGTCTGCTCTCCATTTCTTTCACAGGGTTGCTCTCCCTCGCTCTTTCCCTCCATATTTACCGGTATTTAGATGTATATTCAAGCACAGCATTAGTTCTGAGCTATGCATGGTTTGGTTGCGGGGTGGGGCATCTTGCTCCTCGCTAGTAGCAAGTGAAGAGCAGAGCATGCATCCCACCCAAGTCTTGTGGCGGCCGAGCTCGCAGGGCTCGCTTGGACTAATCTTCCACTGGACGCAACATCCTGAGGTCGCGACTGCATGAAACTTTTCCCTTCAACCTCTACGGCGGCTTCAACAGCACTTGCCTTGATAACCTCAGCTCTTGAAAGACTCACTTTTAAAGCACGTGAAGGGCCCCACACTTGGAAACACAGTCGCTCCTACTCCACACACAACACCCAGTCCCTGGGCACCCGGCGGCGATTGCTGCCTTGTATAGCGGAGACGGGGAAGGCCTGCACGGGAGCTTTTCTCTTCTCCCCGTCCGTGCCCCGTCTCTTGTGGGACGCTCAGCCCGGCACAGTTCAAAATGCACGTCTTTTGGAAGATCGGACCTAAGCAGACTCGACCCCTCTGAGTCGAGGCAAGAGCTAAGGGAAGAGGATCTGACTGCAATCCCGTTTGCGCACATGAAGTGCATGTCTCCGCCACCTGAAACTTCATCAGGCGCATGTCGCCGAAACAGGAGAGACGTGCCCCATGCGCCTCTTGCGCCTCTTGACTGTCAACTTTAAGACTAGCCGTAGCCTCTTTGCCTGTCGAAGAGGTCAGGTGCTTTCTGAGTCCTTTATTGTGGCTTCCAGCTCCCCGGCCTAGCTCTGCCGGACCATCTTGGCCCGGGCCCCTCTCTTCGAGAACCTGCCGGCGCCGGGGTTGCGGCCAAAAAGCGCAGAGAGGAACCGCTGAGCCCGAGCCGCCCCGAGCCGTCGCGCGGCCTTGGGGGGACAAAGCTTCGCTTTGGGTCCCGGTCCTCGGATGCCAACACACGCCAGAAGCCTGCGCACGCGGCGACGTCTCCCCTCTTTGAGCCGGCGGCTTCGTGCCTTCTCATTCGCCTGCCGTGCACACTCCCATTCGCCCCCCCCGGAGATCCGACGTTGGAAACTCGCAGCAACTCCGGAACCTTGGCTTCTCTAAGACCTTCCACCGGCTCTGCAGGTGGCGCCTTCGTGGCGCCTCGGCTTTCTGAATGCTTTTGGTTTGGCAATTTTATGCCAACACGATGCTCTCCCGGCGCCCGGCCGTTTGGAGCACGGGTCTCTGCCTGCAAAGAGCTTATTAGTAGCTCCTTTCACCGAACCTAAAGCCGCTCTCCACGCCTGACGCTCCACCTTCCTCTTCGGTTTGGGCTCCGAGACCTTCTCCGACTTCTCGGAGACCTTCTCGGCGACCTTCTTCGCCTGCGGATAACGCGCGACGTCCGCGCACTGCATGGCATGCCTTCTACATGCGGCCGCGGGGGGGCCTTCTCCTGTTGCTCCGTCGCCTTCGATGCGGTGCCTCAATATCCGGGCAAGTTTGAAAAGAGCCGCGCCTGAGCCCCAGCTGACTCCCGTGCTTGTGTTCGAAAGCTTCCGCTCGGGAGCCTGCGCACAGCTTCCGGCTTCAGCATCTCTGCGAGACTGACAGAACTTCTAGAGATTCTGCTGACAGCAGAGGAATTGCGAAGCAAAACGTCCCGGCTGTGACGGAAGAAAGAGTGCTAGGGCGAGTTTCATCAGGGCTTTGTAACACGAGTTCTATACAGGTTGATTTGTGGTAGGCTTAGACATCCAAAGCTGCAACAGGTGGTGGTGAGGAAAGGAAACGTCAGAGGTGCACCCAAGACTTCCAATCCGATGCTGTCTCTATGCGCCACAGCCCCCCTCCGGGCCGAGGTTTCCAGGAAAAAGCTCGCAAAAGAGGAAGAAGAACAGCTGCTTGCTCATCGACATGGTTCGGGGAACCGTGGCTGCAACAACCTTTCTTTCTTCAGTGATCTGGGAACCCCGAAACGTTGAGTGAGGTCGAACATGTCCATGCACGCGGAAGGAGGAAGAAGAGAGAAGTTGCCATAAACAGCTCGCTCGTATACCTCCTGACACGTTGTAGTCAAGCCCTTCGGCTGCCTTCTCCGGCCGGGGTACTGGCGCCTTTTGAGCGGATGGCCGCACCGGCGCGAGGCCTACAAAAAGCAAGGGTCCGAAGAAGGGCGCTGCTAGGACCTCTGGGGCCTTTTAGGGCTTCTGACACCCACGGCTGTCGGGCAGAAGCAGTGCTTGAAGTCTCTTGCACACGAAACCACCTGAAAGCCTAGACGAGACCTCTTAAGCTCATCTACTCAAGACCTTCGTGTCCATAGCCTGCAGTCGCACTGCCAGCTGCAGAGTCAGCTGTCGGGGCCTGGTGCCAACAGACAAGATTGGGCCGCTGGGGCTCCAGGGCCTTAGGGGTTTCCCAGAGGTGTGCTTTTGCTTTTGGGATGTATACCTGACCCAGGGGTTTCGGGATGCTTCCTGATTCAACCTCGCAGTTTTCCTCGCAGGACGGAGGCCTCGAGTCGTCTCCGCAGTGGCCGCTTCGCTTCCCTCTGGGTGGCCACCACGTCCCAGTCAAGGTCGTCCTTCGCTGGTCGGATGAACCTGGCAAGTCTAGCAGTCTTGCAGTTGACTATGCTTCGGAAAGGGTGACCGCAATGCATCAGCAGAGCCAGTGGAGCAGGAGCAGCAGGAGCAGCAAAGGAGTAGGAGGAGTGGTAGTGGCATTGGCAGTGGCGGTGGCGACAAAATCGCGGATTTTTGTGGTTTCTGACCATTTTAGGATCCCCAAAACCTCCAAATTGGCCAAAATAAGGGTTTTTGCCTATTTTGCGGATTCCGGAAAGCCCAAAATTGCAGATTTTCCTCATTTTCGACTTCTTCCACCAAAAACCACCAAAAGGGTGTTTTTTGCGTATTTGCGGATTGCGGAAAACCCAAAATCGCAGATTTTCGTGATTTTTGACCACCCAAAACGTCCAAAATGGCCGCCATAAGGGCTTTTTGGCCTATTTTGCGGACGCCGGAAAGCGCAACATTGCAGATTTTCGTGATGTTTGACCATTTTGGGCTTCCCAAAATCCTTCAAAACGGCCAACATAAGGGCGTTTTATTTTGCGGATTCCGAAAAACCCAAAATTGCAGTTTTTCGTGAATTTTGACCATATTGGGCTTCCCAAAATCCTTAAAAATTGCCAAAATAAGGGCCTGTTTTTGGCTTGTTTTGCCGATTCCGGAAAACCTGAATTTGCAAACTTTCGTGGTTTTGGACCATTTTGGGCTTCCCAAAAACCTCCAGCGTGGCAAAGATAAGGCCTTTTTGACCTATTTTGCGGATGCCGGAAAGCAAAAAATTGCAGACTTTCGTGATTTTGGACCTTTTTGGGCTTCCCAAAAACCTGGTTGTTTGGCCTATTTTGCGGATTCACCAAAAATCGCAGATTTTTGTGATTTTTGACCATTTTGGGATTCCCAAAAACCTCCAAAATTGCCAAAATAACCCAAAAACCTCCAAATTTGCCAAAATAAGAGCTTTTTGCACTGTTTTGCGGGAGCCCAGACGGGGTGGCAAAAAGCCAAAAAGCCCGTTTGGAGGGGCTGAGGAAGCCTGGTAACAGGCCAAAAACCCCAATTTGGGCGGCTTCGAAGGATGTAGCAGGAGCAGCAGTAGTAGTAGTAGTAGTAGTAGTCGTAGTAGTAGTAGTCGTAGTAGTAGTAGTAGTAGCAGCAGTAGTAGTAGCAGCAGCAGTAGTAGCAGGAGCAGGAGCCGGAGTAGCAGTAGGAGCATAGCAATGGTAGCAGTAAAGGTTGTTACAGTAAAGGCTGTAGAAGTAGCAGCAGTAGTAGCAGTGGTAGCAGTAGTAGTCAGCAGTGGCAGATGAAGCAGCAGCGTAGGCTTGCACGTTTTGGTCCCTTCTGCCTCACTGTCTCCCTGAAGCCCAGGGCCCGCACGACCTTATCGCGTTCACCGTCTTCAGTGGTGAAGCCTGGGTGGGTGATTCCGTGTTCGGCTGCGGCACGAGCAGAGCTGGCTCCTTCTTTTTCACGGTCTCGAGCTCCGCACGCTGCTAAGGAAGGCCGCAAGGCGCTGGAGAAGACCCCACGCCTGCTTTTGATCACAAAGGGGTAGAGTCGTACTTACAGGACCTCAAGAAAAAAAGGGCTGAGGCCAGGTCCACACGAAAGAGTTCCCAGGCACCGTCCACCTTCGCTCCCCGAAGAAAACTGGGTCCCTTGTGACTCCTCGATCACGCAAGCCCCGGACGACGAAATCGAAGAAGTCTCCAACCATGAACATCACCTGGCGGTGCAGTCATGGTATCGAGTGGAGCAGGGCGCGGCTTTGGCCTCTTCGTAGAATCGCAGCGGTTCCTGTTGTACTCGTATGGCTCGGTTTCGGTCACCCTGAGCAGGCCCACAGCTCAGAATTGCGGCACCCATGAGCTCGTGTCTCTCCCGCCTGCCGTCGAGAAAGCCGCAAACTGCTTTTTCCCGACACAGGCTTCCTGGCCACAAGATGCCACAAGTGCCGTTCAAGGCTTCATGACTGATCCGGGCTTTCCAGGTGTGGCGCAGTCTGAACAACACTTCGGCACATCCACCATTCCCACGTGAATGCTTCTGTCGGACTGCTGAGCGCCGATTCGAAGGCTGCGACGGCACTCCTAAACTGCTCGACTTGGAAGCCGCGAGTGCTCACCACGTGCAGCCGATTCGAAACCACTTCCGTATCGCGTCCATGTATTGCGGTGCAAGGGGGAGTTGCATAGAGGTGCATAGCCTTCCTAGATGGTGGCTTGGCCAGCCTTCCCAGGAGCTGCCACATGGCGATCAAGGCCAGCACCATGAGCACCATGAAGAACTCGGGCCTCGGTTGCCGAGAAGCGAAGCGGGGACCAGGAACCAGGACAGCCCTTCGGGACAGCTGCCGTCCGATGCTGGCCATGCCCCCGATTGGCTCGCCTGGGCCAAAGGAGAGATGCCGGCATCGAGACGTTGGGACATCTTGGGACATCTCGGGACTGGACAGTAGTGGCATGGACTCCCGTCCACCGTGGTCGCATCCCGCTTCACCTGGCGAGGCTGCGAGCACCGGACCATCCCCCAAGCCCGAGTCTTCCCACCCACAGCAAAAGTAAAAGGCATCTGACAACATCTCAGTAACAATCTCCGCAACATGACGGGCTTGCGTGGGTCAAGGGGTTGCCACACTCACACGCCTCGGGCGTGCACTGGTCATTTGCCTGTCAAGCGCTTGAACATCCCCATGTCCATGCGGCCAAGCTGGACCCCATGTATCCAGCCTCTGTGCAAGCCGGTGGTCGCCGCGGCTCACAAGCATAGCACGCCAGGCCGTCCACTGTCACGTTCGCCTTGTCTCTGCCCAGCAACGGCAGCTGAGGAACCGAGGATGCTGGAAAATACCCAAAAGGCTCCAGCAAGCTCCCGGATGTGCGAAGAGTTCGCGCAGACGCAGGCCTCATCCACGGCCTGGCTTGAGATACAGTCAAGCTGATCTCCGCCACTACAAGCTGGCCGGCCACACGCAAAGAACCTCTCCGAGAGTCTCGTCACTGATGGGGCAGAAGGTTTGGTTCCTCACGTCCAGCGGAACCACGTCTCAATTCCAAACTCTCCTTTGCCGTTTTCCTCTTAACTCAAGTGCGCAGTGCAACAGCTAAGAAGCACGATCAAGTTACCCAGAAATGGATTCCATGTAGGAAGGTCCTAGGAGACCAAAACACGGGACTTGCTCGTGCCGGGGGCTGTGCCTTGGCATCGACCCGAGCCGATGCGGGAAAGCGGGTTGCAGAACGCAAGATCGACCAGGGCCCACTCGGCTCAGGCAAAGCTAAAGTTGACAAAAAAGAGGCTGCGTCTGATTCAATCACGTGCCGATCGTGTCTACCCCGCACCGGGAGTCATGATGTAACATGCCAAGCATATGATGCTGGAAGGGAGCTGCGTTCGGCGTTTTGACTCTGGCCCCAGCACATGCACGCCCAACTGCCGGCCATCTTGGCCACCAGAGCAAACGTGCACCCCTCATGTCGCGTTCGGTTGCCGAGCCGCCATGATCTTTGGCTAGGAAATCGCCCATGGGGTCTTCCCTGGCGTGACCGCTGCGCCACTGTTCCGGCGTCAGGCGTTATCTCTAAAGTGCTGCCAATCAACGTGTTTTGGCCTTGGCAACTTCCGGGAATGTTTGGGAATGCTGGAAAGTCGCCTTGAACTCAGGCCAGAACAGACAGGACCAGCACAGTCGATGCTCGCCGCTATCGCTCTGCAGTCCTGCTGCGGCAAAACAGGACCCCCAAGCCCTAAACTGTCCCATGCTCCATAGCTCTCGGCATCCTTGTTCCCGGCGGTCGACCGGCTTTCGGCATGAGAAGCAGCGACCGGGCGTCTTCCACCTGCACCCAACGAAACTTGCCGGCACCGGCCGGCCAAAGGGCGAAGGCATGCGTAAACTGTTTAGACGTCTGAGGGCCATGCTCCCGCCACGGCCCCCCGGGAGCGGAGACCTCATTCTGAGGGCATCGCTTGTCGACTTCGCGTCGCTTCGCTGGGCAAGTGACCGAGCGTCGGTAGGCCACAGCTTTCGCCTCGACGCTCAGCTCTGCCCTTCCAAGCCCTTCCAAGCCCTTCTAAGTTTCGGCCTGCAAGCGAACGACTTCCGGATTGCGGAAGTCAGGGCCTCAGACAGATGCTGGAGTCAGGGAGGCTGGAGTGGGTCCAGCCCCAGGCCACTGGCAGGCTTCGCTCAGCAGCCCGTTGAGCGGGCGCACGATGTTCAGAAGCCGCTGGACCTCACCTCAGCTGGCACGCCAGCCATTTGCAAGATTCTGCGGCCATCTGCGACGGGGTCGAGGCAGTCCTCCTCCAAGTGCCGCTCCTCGTCCTGGCGATGAAACGCAGCATGCGCAGCCCCAACTTTCCGAGCATCTTGCACCTTGCCAGGCCCCACCCACCAGCAGCCCAAGCCACCTAACAGAAGGGCAGGCGGCAGATCACAGGCAAAGCCCAAAAAGGCCACGGTGCTGGGCCGCACACAGTGCCGACATGGGATCTCTCGCCCAGGACAGTCGTGCAAGTGCTCCTGCAGGGTACGCTTCCTCCTGGCACACATGAGTATCATCCTGACTTGTGTCGAGCGTTGCCTGGAGTTCATCCTCGCACCCTTGCCAACTACAGACCTCGTCGACAACGGAAGAACGCCATGTCACAAGCTCGTCATCACCTCGAATAAACTAGGACCCTGGGGCCCCACGGGAGCACGAGGACACTGACGAGGCTGCCAGGGGCAGTGCCTCAGAACTCAAAGCAGAAGGGGATGCTCTCATGACACGCCTCTCCCCTATTCTCTCTTTGAAACTGGGTGTGTGCTCGGTGCTTTTTGGCAGTGGGCTTCTGACCTGACATGCTCCTGCCCGGGCCCACGCACGCTAAATGGCAGAATCATGTCTTCCCCAGAGCGCGCGCGGTCGCCTGGCCTCGAGATTGTCCGCCCAGACATGTCTCCCACAGCGATCGTGAGGGCATCGCCTGACCTGGCTCCAAAAACAAACCTATTTAAACTTCCCTAAACGCCCTCAACACCCTAAGCCTGAACCCTAGACTAAACCAGGCTTCTGTCATTCCCACACCCACGCAACAAGGCCTCCGCAGAGCAAGCACCCAACTCGCAGCCCAGCACAAGCTCGTAGCGGCCCTCCTCCAAGTGCTCGAAGGAAGCCTCCAGAAGGGGTGGAAGAGAAATAAAAGGCTGTGAAAGCATAGCGCCGACGAGCCTGGTTCAAGCTCATGGCTGCGGGAACCCGCGCTCCGGGTTCGCCTTCCGGCTCTTTTGACGGCTGATACAAAACTCAGCGCAAGTTACAAGTCTTGTCAGTCGCACACATTCAAAAAACCTCGAGTCGCTCAGCTACAAGTAGGATCGGAACCCGTAGAAGATTCGGAGCTGAGAGGGGGCTCGGACAGCAGCCCTACAAAGACAGGAGCATCCTGCTTCCTCCAGCTTCCCTTCGTTTCCGACCTGGCTCGTCTTCTCCCGCCGTGGCCGTGATGCGCCGCGCGTGCACCACGAGCCGCGGCGCTGCCTGCGGTAGAAAAGGGGCTTCCCTTCCAAGGTCGTCCAGAAAGGGAGGCCTCCACCAGGCCGTGAGGCAGCCAGGTGAGCCAAAGTCCTCTGAAGTTCGGGTCCCCCCCGCCACCGAGCCATACACCCCACCAAACTCTCCGAGGCTCCTTTCGCACCCTTGGAGCCCGCCTCGCTAGAAGCGATCTCCTCTCCAGCACGTGATGGACCAAGAGATGGCGAAATAGGGTGATGCAAACGGGTTCGGTTAGGCTCGTTATTAAAAAGCCGGCAAGAGGCGGGCGGTCCCGGTCCTGGCACTGCAGTTGCACTGGGAGGTCGAAGCTGCCGAGGCTGGTTCCCACTTTCGCCACTCGCCGTTCGCCTCGGCTCCCAAGGCGGCCCTCCCCAAACCACCGGGGCTTAGGGGAAGTCTCTGGTAGAAAGCTCGGTTTCGGGCTGGCAGACGCGATCCTGGCCCAGGGAAGGGATCACAATAAAGAACAGAACAGCGCTGTCAGTGCTGTCAGTGCGCTCTGGTGTGGTGGAGGCATCGCACAACTCCACGGGGACCTCGCTGCACAGCAACGATGCTTCGCGAGCTCTCAGCCAGGTTCAGCTGGGAGAAACACTGCCGGAAATTGACTTGCCGCATCCACGGATGCCGGCACGTTTTGCACCTGTTCCAGCTCAGGAGGAGATACGATGAGCCCCTCCAGAAGCCGATCGTGGCCAAGCCTCCGCGTGTGCGACAGGCCTGATCACATCCTTTGGATCAGTGCCTGGCGGAGCGGAACAAAAAAGCGCCCAAGCCTGCTCGGGGCTCCAAAGGCCTGCGTCGACAACTTCCCAGGGCTTTGCGTCGGTGGCGATCTCGGCGACATCCGCGCGCTTCCGAGAGGGACCTGCGACGTGGCCAGCTCAACCGGCAGAGCACGAGCGCGGGGAGATCTGCCTGGCTCTGCTTCGACGACCTTATAAGAGCACGGTAGCTTCGAAGATTCTCCGCCCGCTTCAGATACCTGTCTAAGGGGCTCACTGGGATGTCGCAGTGCCCCATCGCCAGCGGCATGGTGAGCGAACCTTTTTGCACATCAAAAAAGGCCACCCTGGAACAACTGCCGCGCTGGCCCTTTCTGAGGACATGGCCCCGGTGCCAGCATAGGACCGACACCCAAAAATGTCCAGCGGGAGCATCGTGCCTCAGGGTGAGGGCCGAGTCGGAAAAAGCTGCCTCCCGAATTGCAGGAGTGGGGCTTCGCAGAGGCTTCGAGACAAAGTAGAATCCCAATTACATTACCTTGACCCCCCCCACATACAAAGCTTCGGCGTCTTCGAAAGCCTAGGCCTCGTGCTCTGGGCTTGGATGCTGATCTGGGTCCGTGTTATGCGGCGCACAGCTACATCTCAATATGGCGCTCTGATATTCCTCTGATTCGTCTTTTCTCGTCTTGTTTCATCGGGGTGAATAAGTCTGTCGCAATACGCACGCCGGATCACGCAAACCCAACCCAAGGTACAGCTACTAAGTTGGACTGAGTCTTCCGGCACAGATGCTCAAAGTCTTACGGTCTTACGCAGAAACCCACGAGATGCTTCAGCTTGGAAGACGAATTCAGAGTCTCCTTACGGGGGACATGAGTACTGAACCGCAACCCAGCCAGTTGAAGGTCCTGAGGTTGAGGTGAACATCTCAGGCCCCTTTGCCCCCGATTCATGTCCGAACTTGCAGATCAGCGGCAGCTGGAGGCAGGTCTTCTCAGCCCACTGCCCCTGCGATGGCCTCTTCAGGAACGCATTCCGAGCACTTCTACGAAGCTGGGGTGCCTGAGGCTTCTCTGGGCTGGGAGGCGCCGGCAACGTGCCCAAGTGATAAGAGCACTCAGGCACGTTGGGGGTGCTCCGCATCGCCGCTGGCAGCTCCTGGGGAAGCCATAGTACCTGGAGCTGCCGGTTGGCCCGAGACCTCAAGGGCCCAAGAGCCATAGACGTCCTTGACCGCAGGATGCTTGGGGTGGGCTACAGAAGCCCTAAACCCCCATGGAGAAGTTTGCGTGGACAGATTCACAACTTCAACTGATCAAGACCCTGAAGAAACAGACTCTCAGCTGCAAAGCACACCAAGCTCCAGGAAGGAATGTCTGGGAGCCAAAGGGCCTGAAACCGTAAAAGAAACCCAACACCCTATAAGCCCTGAATCCTGAACCATAAACCCTAACTGCCCTAACTAAACCCTGTAAGCTCTAAATCCTGAAAGGCCCCTGGCCCCAAAAGGACATGAAGCTCGTGAGATCAAGCCTCGGCTGCCTTAACCCCAAACCCAAATCCCCAAATCGCTGAACTGAAATTAAACCCTACTAAACCCGATAAACCCTAAACCCTAAATATCGAGAAGTCCCTCGACCCTGAGGCACAAAACTGGAGATGTCCGGAAGAAGACCTTGCCCTCGGTCCGTGCAATCCGTGCCTAAAACCCCTTCGGAACCACCGTGAACACCCCCCCCTTGAACTCAAGCAACCGGCGCCTCCCGGGAAGCATCTCCACTCGCAAGACGTCTTTCTTATCGAAGCTATAGAAAACCACGAACCTTGGCTCGCCGCTACAGCGAAGAATGCCAGGATGGCGGGCTCATTGAGGAGACAAGAAGCCAGGCGTCACAAACCACATCCTCGATACCCCTGTCCAGCAACCATGCAAAGCAACCAGGTATGTGAGTCTTCATGAGCAGTGGCGGCTCTTCACACGGACCCTGCTGGGACGACATTGTGCAACGTGTAAGCAGCAACGCCTCCACTGCAGCTGCAATGTCTTCTCGATGCTGTCTGATGTGAGCTCGGCAACCTGTTCCAGACACCCCAACCCTGTTGTTGCAGGTTATGGCCTGGCGCACCTTCATGTGCTTGGCCCGCCGGCGGCAGCCGAGCCTCAGAGAAGGCTTCCGATTGCTGCATTCCCGGGATTGCAAAAGAGCAACCCGGATGAATGCAGAAGCAACACCATGCGATAAACCAAAATATCACCGAAACGGAAAGGACGTCAAACGTACATTGCGCCTGAAGGTTTCGACAAGACTTTGGCTGTCCCAGTTGTCCAGTCCTTTAGGTGCGGGCTATGCTATGGCTGCCAGATGATGACAAGCATCATCATTAAGCTGTTTCCGAGTGCTTCTCTTCCAGGGCTACATTTAAGCACAATGTTCTGAATGCCAATGCCATGCCCCCACTTCAGAGAGTCACGTCTGAATGCACTCGTCCTTGATACAACAATTACAGGAATCACCAAAATGAATGACCGGCATGCGCGGGAGAGTTGCAGGCTTTGCCCGCAAACCGACACAGAGACGCATTCAGAACGCAGATCACAGCATGACGGGATCACGAGGTGAGTGACGCTCATGCGTTCCGAAAACACACATGCTCAGGCAAGCACACCGGACAGACTCAAGTGAGCTTTGAAGCGCAAACCCTCCAATGATTCAGCGGCCACGGCAAACCAATCCCTGTTGCTGCGGATCATGAAGAGCGGTGGACGGACAAACCCCGACAGATCCCCTTCACCCAAACCACGTTACCCAGACATACCTCATCATACCTCCCAGAAGGTAAAATAAGGGAAACGTAGAGGCTACGGTCCTAAACCCGAACTTAAGCTGTAAACCCTCAGCACCTTGATGTTGGGTTGAAGAAGATCCTTACAAATTTGCACATGTAGAGCCGCTCCTCCCGTGCTCTCAGGTGCAGCCAAATCTCTGAATCCATCGCAGAAGGATCCACAGAAGCCCCAGGCCGTGCGCAGACAAGGCACCTTCTGCCATCGCAACATAGAGGAGGGACGCTTGGGGCTTGCTAACAGGATGGCACCGCACCCAGGTGCTCATGATAAGGATCCTGCTTTCCAGGCTATATGTTAGGGCCCTCTATTTCTGAGACTACCGTGTCACTTCTTCCTGTGCAGCCCGAGCACAGACGTGAAGAGACGTCGCCAACCCCCAGGTGTCGGAGCTCTGCAACTGTCTTAGCAGCAGCATCCTTACGACTGCAGCCAGGGAAAGCAAACATTCGCCCAAAAGCCCACAAATGATCACCAATATGGTCTCACGAAGCTTCCTCTTTGCAAGCCATGCCACAGCGCGATAGCAAGCTGTGGCACGTTGCAATACCTGTTGTAACTCACGGCTGTGAACAGCCTTTCATCACGAGACACCAGCAGGAGAGATGCGCCGACACGCTGCATGAAAACGTTGTAATGGACCATTCGAGTATGGCAGACCGTTTGGAACCTTCACGCACAATCCGACTAACGGTATACGGCGAGTTTGCAGAACCCAAGCATGTTAAGCATTTGCTGCATCTCACCATTCTCACCTGCAAGCTATTGAAACTTTCACTGCATCTAACCATTCTCACCTGCATGCAGAGGATGAGAACAGCATCTTGCATATGACCCGTGTGAATTGTCTGACAGAGTGTTGG